CAGGCTGCCCAAGCTCGCGGAAATCGCTCTCAGGGTGGCTCGTCCAACTCGGCAATTCTCCAGTCTCTTGGCGGTCGAAGAAGCAACATACAGTCTCTCTATCGTCTGCTGAGGCTGAGTATCGGGCTATGGCCGCTGCTACTTGTGAATTGTTGTGGTTAAAAGGCCTTCTTCATTCCCTTGGTGTTTCACATTCCGACCCAATGCTGCTCCATTGTGATAGCCAAGCCGCTTTACACATTGCTGCAAATGACGCATTTCATGATCGCACCAAGCACATTGAAGTCGACTGTCACTTCCTCCGTCACCATGTGAGCTGCAAAACAGTTGTCACACGACACGTTCCAAGCTCTCTCCAACTTGCGGACATCTTCACGAAGGCTCTCGGCAAAAAGGAGTTCGACACGTTTTTGTCCAAGTTGGGCATATATGACATATACGCTCCAACTTGAGGGGGGGTATTGGGGAATATCTAGCTGTATTATGCCTATATGGCAACTTCCATATTGCATTCGACATTTCTATTTGTATAGCTAGGTTAAGATGTTAGTCTTGGTCAATACATAAACGCAGACATGTACGTATGAATAGAACAGAGAAGATTTCTTGGAGATAACGGCTCAAACCGTGTCATATGAATTTTAAAACATGGAATTACTATGAATTAAATTAATTTTTATAAGAGAAATATCGTGAACGTATAAATGCATCTTATTAAAGGTAAAACTTCGTGTGGTTATCTCGCTATGTCGAATATATATGAGAAAAATACAATTAAGTAAATATGGTACGTAGTCGTACAGAGAGATATTTGCTAGATCCTGATAACTGATGTTATGAAACATATCGAGATTAGGTGTATCGCTCTAATTATGATTACAGGCCTAATCACCATGGCTAAATTAATGCTAATCATGAAACTATATAAGGGCATAATCAAAACTATTACCTTAACGACTATATAATTATTTTTCGGGATTAACGAATATAATGGGATTAATGATGAAACATGCTAATTAAGATATGGGTTCCACCATTTTACTCCCAAGGCATCATATGACATAATAATGTTTCGTGTGTGTGTATATATATATATATCATTGTTATGAATGTTCCTAATTCAGCACAAGTATTTTTATTTCATAAAATATGTACAAAAAACGTCACATCTAATAACTCGCACAATTAATCATAGTTCATATATATCAAATATTCACTGTCCATAGTTGTTTCCCATCACATAGATCACACACACACACATGCATATATATATACACACACGCATGTATCATTGTCAATAATGACCAACTCAGCTTATACATGGGATATACACGTATATTTACACAAAAATTAGCAAGTGGAATAAAAAGAAGAAAACAAAAGAACCAAATGCAATTATGAATGGAATGTGGAGAGGGAAGGAATCCCAAGAAAGTGTATCGGGAATTTGTCATGTTACTAAAGCAAGACAGAGAGCACTGAGACACATGCATGCATGCACACACACATACGCATGTACTTATACATATACATATACTTATAAAAGTGCATGCATGCATTCATGAACATATATATGTATATATATGAAAATAATGCCCTAAAGTATCCTATAATACTTTCTTTGGGGATGTACATGCAAACACATAGCTTCCCATTTCAAGAAGATGATGCCACACCCTTCCTTCATTATCTTTTTGCATGCGCTCAAATCCACCAAGACATTCGATTTATTTAACACATTCTGCAGTGCTATAAATTATAAAGTATCGTATAATATATATATATATATAACCTTACTCTTCGATTTACACTTCTGATCTATGTCTTATTATCTCAAACATATTTTTTTCGATAAAACAAATTAGAAAATCACTCAAAGGCTGATCACCAATCCGATTACGCAAAGTTATTTTAACATGACTAAAAACTGTCATATAAATGAGCAATTTTGAATTTATTCCGTTAAATAGATCATTAAATTTTGGACACTGTAAATTTTTTTGAGAAATTTCTCAATAGATTTCTCTGTTAAATCAATTATGAGATTTGTATAAAAACAAATTTATTAATATGATAGATATTTAGAAATAAATGAATAAAAGATAAAAAAAAATATTTAAAATAAAATCCAGAATACTTACATATTTTTGTTGGTTTTAGTTTTTTGGATTTGATTATTATTGGATTTTTATTTTTTTATTTGATAAAAGATTAAACAGAATTAATTTGGAGTTGGTAAAGAATATAAAAAATGAAGGAGAATGTGAAATTGGTAGAAAAAAAATTGAAAAAAAAAGATTTAGGGTTAAAAAAATGAGGGGGCACCACTTAATTTTTAGTGGGGGCATTGTTATAATTTAATTAAAACTATAAGTAATATTTTTTTTTTTTAAATGTGAATGGGGGCATGTGCCCCCACTTATGTGCAAGTAGATCCGCCCATGTATATATATATAATTGAAGTTGGACGAATGACAATTTGGATTTAATAAATTCTTTTAAAATAAACTGATAAACACGCTTATGGAGCTTCTAGTTAGACGTTGCATATACAGTTTTACCATTAAAATCAGCAAAGATTTCTATGCTTTTTAATATTTAGTTTCTGTTTTTTTCTTAGATTATTTTTATCTTTATTCTGAATTCAATTAATTTAACTTAAAACATACGTTCAACCAGTCTTCAAATCAAATTCGATTTGATTGTAATTATAATTTATCCATTTTATTCTATTCAAATTTTTATATCCATTTCCAAATATTCACTCAGAATGTAATAAAAAAAAAATTATATCCTCCGGCTGCTTTTGCTTTATTGCGATGCTAAAGTAGAAAGACTCTGGAAAGGATGTTGATCAAAGGTAAAGACGGTTCAAATATAAATGGATTATCTATTGTTTTCTAATCTTTGCCCTCTTATTATTTTATTATATTTACCTACAAAATTTCAATATTTTTAATCATATACATATACTGGGTTTGGTGAAGAAAAAAAATATTTATCCAGTCTTAAAATAATCGAAGGGGGACTTTTTAGTTTTTATAGAGTAGCAAGTTACGTGGCCGTGGGAATTAAATGGGCCTGATGATCAATGATGGGCCTCATCAAAGAATTGAAGTTTGAGAAGTAAAAGCCCAATAAATTTTGGTTTGATGTTTTTTTTTGGAAAAATCCCAAAAAAATTACCGAACTTAAAAGATAGTTGATATATTAATACTGAACTTTTACAACTTCCAAATTAAATATAAACTCGTCGATTTTGACACAAAAAAATATTGAACCTGTAAATCTTTGATAAAAACCTCATCGACGTTAAACGGCGTTAAATCGACCAAATGTTGAGCTGAGTGGCGGATAACTCAACGCCTCGTCATCCGACATGTCAGAAGAATAATTTTAGAATAAAAATAAAAAAAGAAAAATAATAAAAAAAATTAAAATTAAAATTTTTAAAACAAAATTTTTAATAAAAATAAAAAACTAAAAATTTAAAATTCAAATTAAAATTATTTTAATACATATATATATATAGTTATGTATATATTGTATATATATTGTATATTTTTTATATATCTATCTATATACATAAATATATATATATATACATATGAATTTGTGAATGTAAGTATATATATATGTTTATGTATATATGCATATATATAATATTAAATATTAAATTTGTATGTATATATATACATATATTTAATAGTTACTATTTTATGCATATGTATATATATATATGTGTGAATTTTGATATTTTTATTATATTTTTAATTATTGGTAATGTAATTAAAATTATTTTAATACATATATATATATAGTTATGTATATATTGTATATATATTGTATATTTTTTATATATCTATCTATATACATAAATATATATATATACATATGAATTTGTGAATGTAAGTATATATATATATATATATGTTTATGTATATATGCATATATATAATCTTAAAAATTAAATATGTATATGTATATATATACATATATATATACATACAAATTTAATATTTAATATTATATATATGCATATATACATAAACATATATATTTATATTTACATTCACAAATTCATATGTATATATATATAAATTTTTATGTTTAAATTTTTATTTTAAAATTTAAATTTCATTTTTTATTTTATTTTTTTTACTTTTAATCTTTTTAATTTTTATTATTTATTATTTTATTTTTTAATTATAATTCAAATTATTTTTATTTTTTTTAAGAAAATACTTATCTGACATGGCGGTTGACGAGGCGTTGAGTCATCCACGTCAGCTTAACCGTAGGTCGATTTAACGTCGTTTAACGTCGATGAGATTTTTGTCAAAGATTTACAAGTTCAATGTCAAAATCGACGAGTTCATATTTAATTTGAAAGTTGGAAAAGTTCGGTATTAATATCAGTTATCTCCAAGTTCGGTAAGTTTTTTGGGATTTTTCCTTTTTTTTAATATTCATTTGGATTATTTTTATATAATGGGAATAAAATATTTTTCTACAAAAAGAAATACCTTCTAAATGAAACGTAAAATTATAATTCAACCCTTTATGCCGTCATCATACAGCCTTGCTTAAACTGGTAGAGGGGTGAGTGTATATATAATATATACATACTATTGTGCAGTTTCCAAACAAAAATTGCAATGATAATTTATTGTTTTAAAATAATTGCAAACAGAATGACGAATACAAACGAGATGTGTAAGCAAGAATCTAACACATAGAATTTCATTTCTACATCTGCTAGATTAAAAAAAAAAATACTAACTAAATTTGTTCGCAGAGATTCGATTTGGTTTGACTGGGAGATTCGGTAACCGGTTGACCCGTTGTTGGTGGGCCAACGTGGCGTATGCTCTTGGTTTAGAAGCACCACGTTTTTGCCACGTCAGATTTATTTTTAAAATATTTAATTGACTAAAATACCCTCTCCACCAAACACCAACTGCTAAAACAAAACCTTCAATTGCTTCTTCGATGGCGGATTCGCTCTCTCTCTCTCCATCCGTCTTCACTCATTGTCTCTGAAATATATTTAATAAATCTGATATACATATATATATATTCATTTCAGTAATCAGAGTTAATTTTTCTACACGTTCGTCAATGGCGGCATCGTCGGCGACATCTCTGCAAACACATTCTTCGTGTTTTGTGAGCTGTCGTTCGAATCAGATCAAAACCCAGAAAACCCTTTTGGATCTCGGATCCGGAGTAAGCGAAAACCCGACCCGATGGGAGAGCTTGCGCCTGCCGTCGGCTGGTCAAAGGAAGACAGAGAGAGAAGCGACGGAGAAAACGAAAGGGAAGCAAAGAGGAGGAGCGGTGGCTCCGGCGAGATGTGCGGCGGAGGGAATAATGATCGGTGGAGGAGAGGCTAACGCGGAGGCGAAGACGCCGGAGAGAGTGAAGGTGGTGGCATTAACGGCGTTAATGATGTGTCTCTGTAACGCCGACCGAGTGGTGATGTCCGTCGCCGTCGTTCCACTCGCCGACAAGCTCGGGTGGTCGAGTTCCTTCCTAGGGGTAGTTCAGGTATTTCATCTTTTTCATCAGCAAAATTGGTTCATTTTCCTTAATTCCTTGATTATCCGTATCAAACCCCTTCTAAATCCCCCAAACCCAGGGATACGATACGTAGAAATGCTTCGTAATAATCTTTAATTAACACATATTAGTACGTGTAATAGAAGCGTTAAAAACAGAGGAAATGTCATATTAACATTTATTAGCAAAGCGGCCCATCTTCATTGCCTTATTTCTCCATAGCATTATTAAATAGTGATATAAATTGGTAGGTTTAAATTGAATATTTTCTACAGTCGAATAAAAATAGATTATATATAACTATATATATATATATATTATAGGTAGTTGAGAAAATGCGTGGGCGTTAGTCTAGCGGCGCTAGGAAATTTGCCGACAAACCCCTCTGACTAATACAGTCTACCAACCCATTTCCTCCAAGTAAAAACGGCATTTTTTGGTACGTAATATTTTTATCCGTATTATATATATAATATATATATATATATATACATATCAAAGCAACCGAACGACATACAATTTCGATTCAGAACTTTGAATGGGCACTTCATATCAAATGATGATGTATGATTTTTTTTTGTGGGTATTAATTATTAGTCTTTTGTTTTTTTTTCCTGCAATGTGTTTTGCAGTCATCCTTTTTATGGGGATACATGTTATCATCAGTAATGGGGGGAGCACTTGTGGACAGATACGGAGGGAAGAGAGTGTTGGGTTGGGGAGTTGGGCTTTGGTCTCTGGCCACATTGCTGACACCATGGTCCGCCTCCCACTCGACCTTAGCCCTCTTGCTCGTCCGAGCCTTCTTCGGCCTGGCCGAAGGCGTTGCTTTGCCTTCCATGACCACCCTCCTCTCTCGGTATCCTCTCTTTCTTCCTCCTCTCCTCCTCCATATCTGTCTATTACAGCATGTATCCTTCCTTCCGGTTCAATCTAGATTGGTCCGGTTTGCATTGTATCTCGAATTGTGAAATGGAATCAGAACCTGGTTTACTTTGATCTCTTATCGGTTTAGGTCAATTCTTGGTTTCTGACCCGGTTTAATCAAGATTCTTGGTTGAAATTCAAAATTTATTCCGGTTTTAAATCTTCATTGATCTGGTTTAATATTTGATTTACCCATATCCAATTTTCAATTCTTTCAAATTGCAAAATAATCAATGGTGTGTTTAGGAGTATTGCACATCAACCGCTTATATACTATGTTCATATGTTCTTAGGTGGTTTCCAACAGGCGAACGTGCGAGTGCGGTCGGGATATCGATGGCTGGTTTTCACATGGGCAACGTCGTCGGATTGATTTTGACGCCGATTATGTTATCTTCTATAGGACTCACCGGCCCTTTCATTCTTTTCGCCTCCTTAGGTCTCTTATGGCTATCTTCTTGGTCATACAGCGTCACTAACCACCCTCGGGATAGTCCTTTTATCAGTAGATCAGAGCTCCGGCTAATCCAAGCCGGCAAACATGTTCATTCAACGGCCGAGGCAAAGCCTAGGCCTCTGTCTCTGCGCCTCCTCTTATCGAAATTGCCAACTTGGGCGATCATTTTTGCCAATGTGACTAACAATTGGGTGAGTTCTTCTTCGTCAATGTCTTCATGTGCAACCATCTCTTTTCTTTTCTGTCAAATTCACATCGGTTTTCACTTAGTTGTGTTCAGGGATACTTTGTTCTTCTCTCGTGGATGCCGGTTTATTTCAAGACGGTAAGATGGGAAGAAAAAACAATCGATCATTCTACATTCTGAAAAAAAAAAATACAATTATCGATTATTATTTTGATTCAATTCACTAAAGTCTTCATGTGGCAGGTGTTTAACGTGAACTTGAAGCAAGCAGCATGGTTCAGCGCTCTTCCTGAAAATTTGTGAAATCCAAACATGAATTGGTGTGAATGAGTTTCTCATCATTTAATTGTCTTACCATTTGGAGTTACTGTTTTGCGTATAATTTCTATATATACGATACATGACGAAAACTAGAGCATGTCAAATTGCGTCGTGGAAACATAAACAAAAAATTCTTATTTTATGTTTTATAAGTTTCGATTTTTTCTAACTAATATAACCCTATATTTATTTTTATACTATCGCATATTTCCAATAGAAATCTAGATTTATACGTCCAAAAGAAATCATGTTTTAATACAAATCTCTGATTGGTTTAGTAATATAAAATAATGATTATTTCCAATATATTACTTTAATTAAAACTCGTTGGCCCGACATTGTTTTAGGAATCTTTTAAATTTGAGACCGCAAGAAACTAGTTTTTATTTTTTAGAACTTATGTATTGATAATGATTATATATATCATGAGGTACAAAGTTTGTGAACGGACAGGCTACTCTTTAACCATTGTTCGAAAGATCATGCAGGTAACTAAAGATCGATTCATTACTTCAATTTTCATTATATCATACAATTATATAACTCGGGTTTTTATTTATCCTTGTGACTCGGGATTATCTAATTGCAGTCTATCGGCTTCATCGGCCCTGGGATATCGCTGCTCTGCCTAAACTTCGCTAAATCACCGTCGATTGCGGCCATTTTCATCACCATTGCTTTGAGTTTGAGTTCCTTTAGCCAAGCTGGGTTTCTCCTCAATATTCAAGTAAGTATACCAAACATTTTTATTCTCATAACAAATGAAAATATAAAATCATTGTTAAGATTTAAGCGTAAATCAAAAGAAAAATCTTCAAAGGATCGATCATATAGGACGATGATTATGGATATAGAATCGTGTTGTATGTGGTAATAATGGATGATGTTGGTGGTGGTTTGCTCACACAGGACATAGCACCGGAACATGCCGGTTTTCTCCACGGTACATTTGATAACAACCTTGAACTTGTTTTCAATTCTGGTTTAGCACGTAAGAGTGGTTCCTTGCTGAAGAAGTTAGGGTTTTTGTTGGGAACAGGGATTTCGAATTCGGCTGGGACGATGGCTGCGATCGTGAGTACGATAGGGACGGGGTATTTCGTGGAGTGGTTAGGCTCTTTCGAGGCGTTCTTGACCGTTACGGCCGCTCTCTACTTCGCCAGCACCCTCTTCTGGCTGCTCTTCTCCACCGGTGAACGAGTCTTCTAATAATAATAATAAAAATACATTTTCTTTTGTTTTCGCATGACATTCTCATAAATCTAATTTATAAAACTAACTAAATTTTGAATCGTATGATATAATTATATATTATTATTGTATTAATTATTCAAATAAGGTTCGAAGACTCAATAATATGATGAACAAATGAGTATTCTAAGAATAGGAAATTTGTTATTCATTTTCCCGAGTGAACCGGGTCCCGGTTCGAGAATAGAATTCTTTAAATAACCGGTTCAATGTTCATGCGTGTTTCTGAAAATTATTACAACGTGAGATGTATGAGATTGATCTTTTATGTGGTCACTCGAATCCGGTCGACCGACCGTAAACCGGAACTCGAAGACTTGCAGAAAACGACAAAATAGAACAAATCCCTACGGATACGCTGGCAGTTATCTTTACACGTGGCATCGCCGGCTTTATGCCTTTTAAAAAAAATCCCAATTATAAATAATTAAAATATGTCCGAAACTCTCGATTCTTTGCCCCTTCTCCTCCGCTTCGACAATTCTCCAGAAAGATAAAAACTTTTCGCCCAAGGATTAGAATCTAGGGTTTTATTCTCCTGGGCTCGTATCGAATCCAGATCGGGGATGGAGAGGACGAGCAATGGAGGGATGTTGTACCACGAGGTGCAAGAGTCGAATCTGTGCGCCGTACATTGCGTGAACACGGTTTTGCAAGGGCCTTTCTTCTCCGAGGTTGATTTGGCGGCTGTCGCCTCCGATCTCGATCGGAAGGAGCGTCAGATGATGCTCGAAGGCTCCGCCGCCGTGGGTGGGTTTTCCGCCGGCGATTTCTTCTCCGAGGAGTCGCATAATGTCTCCCTCGGCGGAGATTTTAGTATCCAGGTACGTTTGTCGCGTCTATTTGGCATGAGTTAGATGCCCCTGGAATCTCTGAGACATTCTGAAATTAGAAGAGTTTTCCATGTTGGGTTATTGAAAATTGAGTTTAATTTAGGTTATAGTTGTTTGAAATCTGAAAGTCTGCGAATTCCTTGCATTCGGTTGCTGGGTTTGATTGAAGCTGAGACTTTGTTGCTGGTTTCGATTTGATTATCGTTTTGGTATGCGTGGGTGTTAGATCAAGGCTCCCTGTTAGTTCCATGGATACAGAATCTAGGGTTAAGTTGGTTATTCTAGACAGGTGCAATCGAGAAGGAATTGAGTTTGCAATCATATGTGAATTGAGATTTGAAATGATGAAGATCAAGCTTCTGATTTCTGTGTTATAATCACTTGTTGAAGACTTGAAGTAGAGCTTTGTCGCCTGTTGAAACAGATCTAATCTATGTAACAGATCTTGCAAAAAAACAGAACACACCAGATACTTCTCATGTACTTTCTGTCTGTTCATTACAATAACAAGCATCAGGGAGGCTAACTTGAGTCTTTAGTTACTATAATATGATCTGTCTTTGCCCGGCAGGTCTTGCAGAAGGCTCTGGAGGTGTGGGATCTACAAGTGGTTCCCCTAAACTGCCCGTCTGCCGAGCCAGCCGGGATAGACCCGGAATCCGAAAACGCCTTCATATGCCATTTGCATGACCACTGGTTCTGCATAAGGAAAGTGAACGGTGAATGGTACAACTTTGACAGCCTCCTGGCTGCTCCACAGCACTTGTCCAAGTTCTACCTCTCTGCGTTTCTCGACTCCCTTAGAGGCTCGGGTTGGAGCATATTCCTCGTGAAGGGTAATTTCCCGCAAGAATGTCCGGTTTCATCCTCTGAGGCTTCAAACGGTTATGGGCAATGGCTTTCACCGGAAGATGCAGAGAGAATGACGAAGAGTATGAACTCGGGTGAGGCTGGTACGAACAGGAGCACTGAGAGTGTTGATCAAAGAAGATCGGATCAAGCCTTGTCAATGGAGGAAGTTCGGATGCTCTCTGAAATGGAAGATGACGACTTGAAAGCAGCGATTGCAGCCAGTTTGCTGGATGCTTCGGCGGCAGAGGCCAGTCTAGGAGGAGCTGTGGCTGTTCAGACTGAGAAGAACAAAAGTGAAAGAGAGCAGTGAGAACACTTGTGATTCATTGGCTGAGAAAAAAACAATACAGTGCTTGTTGTTGTTTTTGATGGGTTTATTTTACACAAAATCTTATATTGAGAGAAGAGATGGAAATGGACAAAAACACATCGTAATGTTGAGTTTGTGAATTGCCTTTTGAAGCATTTTGGCAAATTTCTGATTCTTCGAGGAAGTGTGTCGGAAGCAGGAACTCACCTGACGCGCTCTCCCGTATTTTTCAGGATTGTCTGAATAAAAAGGGTCATGATCCTTACTCGGGTAAATAAGAAAAGCAGAGAATGGACCAATTCTTCCGTACCTCTTTCACTTGACCATAGCTTGCTAGTTCAGCAGCGTTGATGATGGCATTTCTCGCCACGTTAGGTCCAAGACCTGTCCATAGAGCTCTCACTCCTTCCTGTCAATCAGATGAACTACTTACGATATGAAGCACAGACTAAGCAAAAATACAAGAACAACCTCCATTCGGCGGGATCGATAAACAACCTGTTTCACAATCGTTGAGTAGGCGTTCAGGGATCCGGTGTAACGCCTTGGCACACCTGGAGGTAGCTTTCCCTCAGCTTGGAGCCTAACTTTTACAAGATCAGTTGGATTCGCTACCGTTGTGCCCAAAGCACCTGATAGTTAAAGAAGAACGCGTGTTAAGCAAACTAGAGGCAGGACACAGAGGTTATCAGTCAGGAACTGAAGATGTGTATTTTCTGTTGCTGAGCGGAACATCGCCTACAAAGTCACTCCCGACATAAAAGTTCTTGACCTGTTAAGATTTCTGGATTCCGAATTCACATGTCTAAAGAGTTTACGAGAAAAGGACTTGTAACCCACCGGCTCTACAAGTAAATCCTGAACAGGCCTTCAGGTTTCGAAATTCAAGGTCTCTCATACGCCTCTGCCTTTATTTAGGCTGAAAGATTCGGACAATCCAAAGAAGCGGTATCAGTGTTTCTGTTTGAATAATCAAATTTGCGTCTATAAACCAAAATAGACAAATGCTTATTAAATTTACAGACAGAGGATCCTGAGCCTCAGGACAGATCAACCTGGTCGGAGCTTCGGCTCATTCCATACATAAACTAATTCACCAAATTCTACAAGAAACACTTTCGGCAGCGAAGATTCCCAAATCCGTTTTCACGTACGGAGAACAGAAACAACGGATTCCGGATGGCGGGCGTACATTTCTCGGACAAACACGCAAAAGCAGAACAATCTTGTTTCCTTAGGACAGGGATGTAAAACGGGTACACTCGGAATAGATCAGACCACCTCCTTCCCAATCAACTCATTTCCAACCCAACTCGTTAAATTCGTTTTTTTGGAGCAAGAAATTCATGCCTCAGTCCAAATCGCTCTTGCTTTTCAAACGGCTCGCGAGACAAATAAAAATTAATAAATCTTTTTTAAAATTATTAAAAAAATATTTAAAATAATAAAAATAATTTTTTTTTCGTGGATTCACCGAACAAGCTCACGATGAATTGACTCGTGGTGAGTTTGTTTGTTCGTTGGAAAATTATTTTTTTTCCGAGCTCAGATTTTTTTTGAGCCCAAATCGAAAAATATGAATTGCCTCGTGAACCTAAGTTCATTTTGATATCACTATCTTACGGGTTATAAAATTGTACATTTAGCCACCATATGCACATGCGCATATTATATATGTGTTTGATAAACCCTTCGAATCAAAATTTAATTAATAGATGTGGAATTTAAACATGTTCGAATTCTATAACTAGATATAGGGTTACAAAGAAGAGACGTTACTACTATATTTAATAAAATTTATATATTAACTATATCTAAGGATAAACGTACTTTAAATAACTTCAACAACAGATCCGTTCTTTTGATAAGGTTTAAATCACAATTCTAATCCTTAAAATTATAAATTAGTCTATAATAACCGCCTTAACCGGATATGTTTTCGTATGTTCTTATATGGGCTTCTTCTATCATTTTGGGATTTGTTATTGAGTCTTATAGAAAGGTCCATTTATTGGCGTCATTGCCTTTGTGTACTAGCAATGATTATATAAAAATACGGTATTATACAAAAATATGAACAAAAATGACATAATACAAAAAAACGGAAAATTGGGAAATATTGAATAAAAATAAAAATTCTTGAACTTTAAAAACAAAATTAATTAAATTTTAAACGCACAAAATCCAACCGAAATCAACACACGAATCAAACATAACATTTGGTTCCGGTTTTAATCATGTCAAACCAAAGTAAACCGTACCGGATATATATATATAACTGCGCGTGTTTATTGTTGATCCGCACCTAGAAGAAGAGCTGTCACTCCTGTCCCGTCGTCGCTATCACCGTTGCTCCTTGGGAAAATGACGAGACACGTCTGAATTGGCAAGAAATTTCGGATATGATGATGGAATTGACTTGGGGGATTTACAAAAATGACTTTAAATGTCATTTTTACTTGGGTTTTTCTTAACCTCTAAGAAAAAACTCTGCTTTATCCCTCTCTCTCTCTCTCACAGCTCGATACAGGTGACCGAAAGTTTCCTCATCATCCATGGAAGAGCCTCTCCTTTCAGGTACGTGGAAACCCGATTCTCCCTTTCTGGGTTTCTCCTTTACGATCGTACGATTGAAAATTTTCTCGTATTTTTGCCCCTCTTGTTGTTCGTTCGCCCTGGATTCTGCTTGGAAGCCGAGAAAAAGAGGGAATCGGAGAAATGGGGTTCGTACCAGTACTTGCAGAGAACTGGGTCCTCAATCCGTAACGCTTCCATCGCCGGAGCCGGCGTCACCGTAGAAGAAATCCGATCGGCTTCCTCTGTTCCCGACCCTCCCGCCCTCTACCCTCCAGTCATCAGTACGCCCGTCTCAATACCAATCGGTAAATTTCGTATGACCATCTTGTGATTGTCGCCTGATTCGTGGAAAATGTAAGGTTTGTGCTCTCTTAATCGTTGGTTTTGACGAGAATTTCGAGCTTGGGATTCGTAGTCCTTGAATTTTTGGAATTTGGGAGTTGCTGTTGATCCTCTGTGATTGCAATTCGAGCTGAGCATAGGCAACGTGATTGCCCTGGAGGCGATTCTTTTACCAAAAATCTGAATTGTGGATTAAGTTTTTTGGTTGATTCAAGAGGTGATCTGATGCTGTGTTCTTCAGTTTATGAATCCTTCAATTCCTTGGACTGGCATAATTGGATTGTTTCGGGCGTCTCATCCAATCAATCGTTACTATGACTCTAAAAATCTTAGAAACTTTCCACTTTTCTCGTTTTCTTTTCCTGCAAAATTTGGATCTTGACGAAGATTCTGATGACGAGAAGATGAACGCATGTACTGTTTCAGTGTTGCCATACAAAGAACAATTATTTGCAAGTGTTTGATTGCTTCTTGACATGTCACAGATCAAGCTGTTGGTTACCCGAGTGCATATGGGCCAGGTCCTGAACTCCAAAGGTAAGTCCTTGGAAGAGATGTCCCTTTTTATTCTCGTCTCTGTGCATTTGGTGGTAAGAGATTTTCAGGGGCTAAGGCTTCTGGTGAATACTGTTCTTGAACTATGTATATGTATTTTCAGGCAGATTTTCGATGAAGTGGAAATAAGAGAGCTGCTAATTGATCATGTTGGTCATCGTTGCTGTTGGGGAAGCCGTCCAGCTCGTAGATGGAAGATTCACGCTGTGGAGGACTGCAATGTCTATGTTGGGACTCTCGATACTTTCATTGAGGAGAGGGAAATCGTGAAACAGACCGTGCCTTTCACCGGTGGAAATATCAATGGGAAGAAACTCGGAGCTGAACCCGGGATTTGGGAGCTTGATCTGAAGTCGGAGTTTCCTTCTCTCTTCATCCCGTATAAGGAAACCCAAATCCCAATTCCTAATTCCGAGACTGTCGAGAAATGCCATGGTAACAACGAGAGTTCATCAATGCAGGAGAATGAACCGAATGTATGGGTACTAAAGTTGCAATGGCAAAAATTGACCTAACAGGTTGCACAGGAAGAGGAGAGGTAATCTGCCCAATGTGTAATGTGAACGCAGAGCCAGGGTTTTACAAGGAAAATCAGACGATGACGTGCTCTGCTTGCTATGGAAGGGGATTGATTGCTCATAGAGATGGATCCGACACAATGTAAGTTGACATAACCATCTGCTCTGGAGGATTGTCTTTTCAACTAGATGTCTCTCTGCTCACTCTTTTTTCTCGCAGATGCATTTCCTGTAATGGCAAGGGCAAGCTTCCGTGCCCAACTTGCCAGTCTCATGGGTTGATAAAATGTCAGACCTGCAATGGAAGTGGCTCTCTTTCGACGAGCAGTATCGCCACTGTGAGATGGTACTAAAAATTTACGAATTAGCGTCAAGAATGAAGGATATCCATGTCATAGAAGCATGAAAGCAGGCATCTTTCCTCATAAACTAAGCTCCAATCCCGAAAAAACTGATATTCCTAAACAAGTGAACACCTCGAAAAGATAGAGACGCCAGTTTAAGAACTGAAAGACAACAAATTGCATCCAAAGATTTGATTTTTTTTACCGGGTTTTGACAGGAAGACGTTGTCCACCCGAAAGGTGAGTGCAAGGAGCGGTGCTGCATCAGTCCCGGACGAGGTCTTCCACCGAGCGCAAGGAGTGCAGCTCAGCAACACTCAGGCTTACCAATGCACGCCCGCTTACTTTGCCGACTCCTACTTCCTCAACAAGTTCTCGTCGGACGTTATCTCGATGAGATCCCCCGTCCCGCCGACCGCTAACGTTGTCTGCGAGAGACATACCGTATCTGTCGTGCCCGTGACCCGAGTCACTATGTCTGATCGCGGGAAAGCGTTCAACTTCTACATCATCGGTTTCGGGAAGGAGGTTTACTTGAAAGATTACTACCCTGCTAGGTTCTGCTGGGGTTTTTGTCCTTGTCTTGAATGGTTGAAGGTTTAGATAACAAAGCAAATGCCTTCACTGGTGGTGATCTACGTGTGAGAAACCCGTTGTCTGTAACAGGGTCGAGTGTGTCTTAATGTCTGTTTTTCAAGTGTGGGTTCCTACGGTAATTCAGCCCTTTCTTTTCTTGGAAGGGTTGGTATGAGAAAAATGAATGAACGTGAATCTTGAATGTTTCTTCGACAACATCCTTGTTATTTCGAATTTTAATTATTTGGAATTTAAAAAATTATAACCATTTATTTTTTTATATTGAATTCAAATTGATTCGATTTTGACTTTTATTTATATAAATATTTAATTTTTAAAATTTTTTTATTTTTTAGTTTTTATAAGATATGTTTCTATCCGAATTTAATTTTGAAGAAATAATAATTATTTAATTTGATTATTATTACGTATTATTTGATTCGATAAATTTAATTATTCCATTATTAACCAAATTGATAGGTTTAAACCTTCAAAAGCTTGAGATAATTCGAGAACATCAACATAGGGATATACTTCATCGAAAATGTTTATTTTCCATCTGGGTTCGGGATCCGACGACTACAAATGAATTAAGAAAGATCCAACGGTCTCTGTCCGGTCGGTGACCGATTCGGTGGTCGTCACGTGTCGGAAGCTGATTTACGCGGCGGGAGATACGTGTCACTTCATGTTTGCCGGCAAACCTAAGATTGGTCGGTCCACATGAAAATCATTTAAATAATCATTTAATTCAGAAGTTAAGTACAAGGAGCTTTCCATTTAATGACAAAAGCCAACTGAGAGCTTCATATGGCCTATTTTGTGGGAAATAGCATAATCTTTTTTTTTTAAAATCATTATTGTGTGTTTGTTAGATAATGAAATAGATGGATGGATTGCTTTATAGGTAAATGGAAACGTACCACTTGAAGCATCGTTTTTAGGGGATAACAATTTTATTTTTTAAAAAAATGATATTCCTATAACTCGGGATTTATAGAAACAACTGAAACATTTATTTATAACATCATTTTCTTTATGAAAACTTGCAATGGTGGCAACTGGTTTATACTCGTGTTTGCCTTCTTTAAAACAAAAATCGGCACACAAATACCATCAAAATAAAACAATATCGGTATAGTTGTCATAATTTGGACCAACCATAGAAGCTTTATATGCTATTGTAGTTGAGATTGTTAAATTGTTCATTTCACATGTGCTGTTCATATCTCTTTCACATTCTCCACCTCATTGTTAGCCTTTATCTAATCCTAATCATTACAATCATTTGCTTTATGTAATATATATATATATATATATACATACACATTAGTTGCATATATATGTTGCAGTTAAGTTGAAATGACAAGAATAGTGTGACAGAACTCCCTTATACCCCCAAAAAATACGAATCATTGGACCGTTTGGAAGCTAAAGAAATACGATTTTTTTTTTTGGTTAATAGGTCGTTAAAAATAAATTTGCAAACATTAAACCACGGCAGTGTAATTAGTGGATAATACGCACACTTTGCTCATGCATGCATGAACGCATGCTTGTGCGTGTAATTTCAGCCTCGGTTTACACGAAATCATATCTGCCCTTTGATGGAGGTCATTTTTAATATATTTGTTAATTTGATTTTTCTAGCGATCTTATTTGATTGTCATGCCGTAAGAAATGTAACTTCCAATTCGACATATTAAGTACTAATTAACTTATATATATATATATATATATATATACATATAAAGGTAGGGTTGCGTGACATGCAGACCACGAAATTAAATGTGCGGAGTTAAATTTATAAGCATATCGATCGATAAACAAATGTGTAAATGGAACGCTTTGACTAATGCAGATGAATATGAACAAGTAGATACGTGCCACTTGGACTTGCTCTATTATATTCGACGCATTTATTACGCTCTAGCTCATAAACCAAATCGCTCGACGTATGCCCACTTCTGCACTTTACTTCATTTTGTGTTTAATTTATGCTGCAATCAATTTTTTTTTTGTTAGTACCCATTTTTTTTAGCAATTTGAATTTGACGTATTCAGTTAGAAAAAAAAATTCTAATTTCATTTTTTCAAACAATATCAAAACGTAGGACATTGTATATATGATATATGTAGAAGTACGTATAATCGACGAAAATAAACCTTTGTATATTCGAAAAAAGAATTGTTTGTTTTCTTGGATATCCAAATACATCACGGCGAATGTGGATAAAATTAAATTACGTGAAATAAAAATAATGATGCAGAAAATTCGAAATAATTTAATGGCTGTAACTTGTAAGTTTACGTATTTATAAATGTAGGATGAGTGAATCTTTTTGACATTCAAGTTAATTATAGAAATATCAAACAATCAAATCCGAACTATATCCTACACGTATCTTAATTAAACCCATCATTCGCCATTCAAAGAATATAGAAGTACCCCTATGTAATATTCATTGTATCCAAAAACAAATATTTTTTTTATAAATTCAAACGTATATTAATTTACGATTTTATAATCATATTTGTAATTAAGGGACAAAAGTCACCCGACGTTTCTCCAGTTAACAAAACAAGAATAAAAATACAAATCCAAAACAGGCATATAATTAACCATTCAAGAACGTAGAATATACGTAAAACAATTCCATTACATGCTTAAACCAAAAAAAAAAAAAACCCATTACATGCAAAATAAATGTTTTTTTTATTACATAGCACATATGCATATATTATTTTTTTTGGTAAATAGCACATATGTATATACAATCTTATAATCATATTTCGCCACTCAGAATAAGTAACTTGGAATATATTTACAGATTATAACCATATTCGCTACTTGGAATAAGTAACTTGTAAGAATTTATAATCTGAACCGGAATCAAGAGAGAGAAAAAAATCTTGGAATCTCCGTATTTTGTTATAGAAAATAATCTACATATAAAAATTCGTATTTGGAATTATCCATAATTAAATACGTAGGAAATCTGAAAACCAAATCATCATCAGATACAGATATATATACACACACACTCTTGCATATATACGTGTGTGTATATAATGAAACAAAGAGACCGAATGTTGCGGTGGCTATAGAGAAGAAACCATAACATGGCCTGCTAACCCAAAAAACCAACTTTTTTTTTTCTC